GAGCCGAAGCTGAGTTAAAAAATTAACGAATTTTTTGCCATTTGGTTTTCAACCGTGTGTCTAATTAGTTGTATACCTACCTACCTAGTACCTATCACTTCACTATATAATGCCGGTCACGGGCCAAAATCCTAATACGGTACAACGTATGTAATATATTGTGTATATAGTTTAGCAATCGGCGTACAACCGGTTGGTGATATAAGAAGTATTTAGGCGGCCGGTCAGCTCCACAACACTAATATTATTGTATAATATGTAATGTTATATTACCAACCAATATATATTTACAGCGAAAAACTAATTTATTTTTCATTATAAGTTTTTACCGCTAGCCGGCGTTTACAAAAAAAAAATTCCACCTTTGTCACTTCTATGATCGTTTCCCTCTATTAAAAGAGGTAGGTACACTATAATAATTTTCACCGTGCATTTTTTTTACACAGTGTATTTTAACATAACTAAACTTTTTTTTCTTTGGTTTTTTAACAAGGGTCGTACCTACCGGCTAAAAGCAGACGGCGAAAAAAAAAGCTCACAAGCTTTTTACCCTCCGTTTGCGTTGATGAGCATGCGCTTTGCACCTCCAGCTTGTACCACCAACCACCTCTGCCCCGCTCGCCCATCATCCCCCGGGAAAAAAACCCCGGGTTTTTTTTTTTTTTTTTAACAGCACTTATTGATTTTTTTTATAACGTTTTACGCCCACCACTTCTCCTCCCGCCTATCTTTCTCGTTACACGCGTATATATATATATATATATATGTATATGTGTGTACACGCGACCCCTTTTTTTATATATTCTGGTCCGGGACTTTTTTTCAACCTTCCTCGGTGTACTACCGTCTCCCCGCACTCGGTAGCTACTACACCAGCCCTCCTCTCGTTCTGTTTAATATGCCCTCCTCGCCCCTTAACGGTCTACCACCCCCCGAAGTGAGCTTCATTAGCGCACAATGCGTCCTAAAGTCTTCCCTGTAAATTCGCCATACCGGTGGCAACCACGGTCCCGGATTCCGATATCATGTAGATATCAACGGTATTGCTCTTTCAGTGACTTACTATTTACAAGAGATAGAGATTTGATTCTCAGCACATTAGAAAGAGCTTGTCGAGAAAATACTAGAAAATATTAACTTGAAAAATTAAAAAAAAATTGTAAATTTTTTGCTACAATTTTCTTTAGCCACTCGGATTTTCGAAATCTATTAACGGATTCTCTTATTGAGGGTCTTCTCAGATGTGTAGCAGTGCAGTGCATTAATTTGCATACCTTTTGAATTACCGACTCGACAATAAAAGATATACAGGGAGTTTTAGCATAGTACATAAGTTTCGACTGTTAAGTAAAAAAATAATGACTTAAAAAAAAAAAATTATTCCCTGTTATTCAGTGCAAAAAGCTCATCACCTTAAAAGAGGGGTCACATTATTTTCAGTCCCTTTAGGCCCATAACTCTTTTTTATCACTTATCTTATCACTTATTTCTTACCTCTAGTCTCTAATCATTTATCTCTAATCACTACTATCTTATCATTTATTTATTATCTCTTGTTTCTAATTATTTACTTTTAATATCTTATCGTTTATCACGTATCTCTTATAATTTATCTCTAATCTTTCATCGTTTATCTATTATCAACTACCTCTTAACATTTATCTTTTAACACTTTTCATTTACTTCTTATTTCTTGTCTCTAATTATTTTTCTCTTATCATGTTTTGAGTTTAGTCTTTTAAGGTGAACTTTTTGCACTTAATAACAGGGAATATATTTTTTTTAAGTCATTTTTTTTTTCTTTGACTTATCAAAAAAATTAAAACGGGGGGCTTATTTGTCTTAGATGTCCAATCGCCTATTACTTACCTTTATGCTGGAACACCCTGTATATTTTAAAAAAATTTAAATTAAGAAAGAGTCTACACGCCGACCCCGACTTGGCAACGGCTTCTTTTTTATTAAGAAACTTGTAAGTACAATTAAAATCCTGATGACGGATTCGACAGATTGTTAAGCTGAATTACATAATAGAATAATATTGTATTTTGGAGGACTTCATCGTCCGGGAAAATACCTTCCCCGGGTTTTTTGCGTTTATAGGCAAATGGCGATTTTCTGATCACTCGAGTCATACGTTAAGCATACTCGTGGCGTACTTAAAGCTTATTCGCACAGTAATATATAATTTGATGGGTTTTTTTTTTTTGGATTAGACAGTAGGGTCGAAACCATTGTCTGCGATCCGCAAACGGAGTCGTCGTCGACAACCCTTTTTTTTTCTTCAGTACATATTAAATACATTATTATGCGCTAGATCAGGTTTTCTTTTTTTTATTTAGGCGTTCGTTCCCAACACGTCTGTTTAACATTCTATACCGCGATCCGGAACAACGCGGATTTGTCAAGGTACCTCTGCCGAACACCTTTTACACATTCATGACCATCATTTATCATATTATTATTATTTCTCATTTTTACAACTGACGAAACACATTAATCTCAGCCACCGCCACCAACTTACCTCTGTCACTATCATAATTCGTCGTCGTCGTCGGTCTTGATCGCCTTAGCGCAGGGATTTTTTTATATTCATTCAAATCACGTAGTTACGGTTCATTAGACATTTTATTTTTTTCCGAATTTCAATGGGAAGGTGCCCGAGGCGAGAGTATGTGTGTTTTATTTTGGGTAGATCTTCTTAATAACGTGACCTTAAGGCGTTCGCCACTTCCGTCTCGGCCTGTTAAACGTTGAGAAAAGAAAATTCAAAGCGTTCCTACTTACACAGCTGACGGGTATTTCTTGTTTACACTATCTCCAGAGTTGTGCGTCGTTCGAATATAACGTTATTTAAAAATAATCATCTAGATAACACATTATTCGAGTAAAAGTAAAAAAATAATTATTCAAATAATAATTCTAAATATAGCTCTTCGAATAACATTTTATTCGAATGAAAAGTTATTCGACTGATTTCAAATACAATTATTCAAATAATGTTTTATTCGAATACGAATTTGAACAACTCTGCTCTACAAGGTCTCATGGTAGAGCAATTTAAAAATATTCAAAGGTGAACATTGATGCAGATACAAGGCAATCGATACGTGTATTATGTAAGGCGAACAAGGTTGGATATCAGTGCAATCTTCAGTTCAATATTATTTTTGAATTTTTAATGTGTTAATCGACACAAGTGGGTTCAGCCCTGATTTGATATGTAGTACCTAACTGTTATTAGGAACTGCTCGTTCATCTGTTTGCTGATTTCTTAGCCCGAATTAAATATACCCAACGAAAAAAAAGGCCTAAAAAAATGATTTTCTTGTTTTTTTTACTAAAGCTACATAAATAGTTTATTCAAATTACTATGTAGTATTGTTATAACAATATAAGTAGATCTTCAGTTGCTTGTGAACATTTTTCTGCACAAAGAGAGTGAAAAACTAGTTAATAAATTCTTATAATATACATTTCATAATATACCCACGTATATAATGTGATTTTTAAGAGATTTTACTAATTTTATATTCAGTTACAATGTTGTTTCACAATTTGTGTTTTTTTTATTGTCTTAATTTAAAAATAACCAATTTCAAATTAAGAACTTAAGAAAAATCAAAAATTTGATGTTACAGCTGTATTTTTTTTCACTCTATGATTTGATGAACCGTTTGGATCCATTGTATTATTATTAAGAGATAGTGCATGGCGATTTTCAAAGAGATACAAATTCAAATTTTCTTCCTTTTTTTTTCTTTTCTTGTCCGGGTGGATGACCGTTATATTGGGATACTTGTTGTTGTTGGATGCAATATAATATAATGGCCCGAACAGGACCGGATAATAAATCGACAGTTTTCGAGACAGCCGTCTGTTTTCGGGCAAAGAAGGCAGGCAGATGAGGACGAGGGAGGAGTGGAAGAGCGCGGAGAGGAAAAGGGCGAACGAGACGTCCGAAAAGTTTTGCTAAGTATATATACAAAAAAAAAAAGAAAACGCAAAAAAAAAAGGTAAAACAAGTATAACGAGATGCATAACGACGGCGTTCGCAGTTTATTTAATTTTTAATTATCATCAGTTCAAAAACAGGCCGTTCTTGTATTTGATATAATATTAATACCACAAAAAATGTATAAAATCTTATGATAATTACAATATAATATAGAAATCGATGAAATACATATTAAAACGAATCGTTTGTGTAACGATAGAAACTATATCAAACGATTCTATTCTTCGATAAAAAAAAAACAACAAATTTTTAATAATCATTTTTTCCGGCTAAACGCACAATGATAATTAATAACTCAATTAAGAATCTATTGGAAAACTAAAAAAAGACCTCTCTTTTTTTTTATTAACAGCAAATTTTTGCTTTGCAATTCAGAAGTTTTACATGGTATTAGCGATTAGACGATGCCACGTATAAGACATACACAATTACATTTGGTTTGTTTTATTTAGAAAAGGTTTACAAGTTGTTTTTAATGGTACTGTAGAAATTATACACGTTATACGGTTTGGATATTGAACCAATTGAGTACTATAGAAATGTAATTTCGTCGATGTGGTCACACTGTAGCTCGACTTTTCGCTTTACTTGATAATATTATTTTACTTATTGCGACCCCCCCCCCCCCCGTTTCACACCCTATAAGACAGTATTGAATGTATATTTAAATTTATCTATCTCTATTGGGGCTAATGATCATATTATGATAAAAATGGGCGCCCTATACGTTTGGTCTGCTCTCTAGTTGTGTCTTTGATTATTTTTAACTACTGCAACGGTCTTAAAAATAATAGTTGCCAAGACTTGGAGCGTCTCTGATTGGAAGTCAGTTATAATTTTTACAACTCATTTAACCGGAAATATTAATATCATAAATGTAAACAAGTCCACTTCCCTCCACATCAAATTTTTATTACAAACATGTTTTGCACCTATTATTGCAATTAGTTCTGATTGGTCGATTTTTGTTTGTCTTTTACAGCAATGTGGCGGTCATGGCAAAGAAGTGGACTACAGCTGGGCCAGACAGACGTCGATGAAACAAGGCTACGAGGTAAATAAAAGAAAAAAAAATAATAATAAAAAACTTGACGAATAACGTTTGGTACTTGTTTTGAACGAATTTTTATGTGCAGTCAAACTGAGAATGTTCGGAAACTGGTTTTTTTTCCTTTTTGCAAAAATTTCTTTTGGTAACTCGAGATTATGAATACAAACAATGCAAGATTATAAAATATAATACCTTACGTGTTCGACCAGTTTGGAGGGTTGGGCGTTAGATGTGATAGCGTGGCCGTGATAAAAAAATACTGTCAGCATTGACAATCACTATATGTATATAATATGAACCGCTAACTGCAGATAGAGGACAAGTACATTTGTATCAATTTTGGTTTTATCACAGATCAGATAAAACCCTATAGAGCAATCTAAACAAACTTTAATACACTTACTATAAACACTATACAATTTTACTTTATTTTACATTTTTTTTTTGTTTTCTAATTTTATACCTATTTTTAAAAATATATTGTCCATCAGCCCCCAAAAAATATTCATTCAAGATTATATTAATATTTTTATATATAATAAGTATATAATAAAAGTTTGAACATAACTTTTCAACTTTGTTTTACAACAAAAAAAACCGTCCAGTCCGCAGAGAAATTTAGAATTACAAATATTTTCTAAAGATTTTGCTGTGGTTTGGTTTGGTGGAAAGTGTTCTGGACACAATATAAGTTTTGATGTATGGAAAACAATTTTATATAAAATAGATAGTTATGATGCAAGTGACGGCAAGAACATAATGTAAAATTGTTTTATAATTTTTTACAATAAAATATATTTTGCTGAATTGAATCATCGACTGTATTATAATTGTAATGTTTCAGGCCAAAATGAACAACAACGAACACAACCAACAGCTATCGAAAGGTACGTTTAAACGTTTCTAAAAAAAATACTCAATTTATTGTTTTACATAGTATGATCTCTTGTTCAGCCCTAATACTTGCTATTTTTTTTTACTAACCGTTTGGTCTTGAGCCTTAATTTTTCATTTTTCAAGTATTGTTCATTTTGTGTAGTATGGTCATTCACATTGTTTTTTTTTTGCGTTCATTAAAATGATAATTTTTTTTTTTTTTTTTGGATGTGACATGACAATTATGTATCGTGTCGTTAAAAATGTGGACAATCTGCTAAAAAAATCCCTACAAAGCCACTCGTTGTTTCTATGACAACACGATTCAATGCTCTGGATGAGAATGGGGGGAGGAGGGGGCATAGAAGGGCGATCGGCGTTAAAGTAACGTACCTACCATATTATAATATAGTGGACGAAGGTAAAAAACGTGTCCCTGACTTGACAAGTTACCTTATTCTGTATCGCTTGTGTGTCACCTTGAATTTATTCCCAAAGCCGAGCAGGGACTAGCCAGCTATGTACCGTACCGTTATTGACCCTGGTGTTTACTTTCCCTCGCCCTCCTCTGTTTAATAATAATAATAATAATAATAATTAGTTATTGGGCTTAAAAATAAAAAACGGGGCAGAATATATTTGTTTTTTTTTGCTCATAACGGATTCAAAACGGGTTTGAAATGGACTTGTTTTTTGTGAAATAAAATATGCTGGTCGGGTCTTTTGAAATACCAAATTTCCAAAAAAAAAAAAAATATATATATATATATATATTTGTATTTGTTTAAGAACCGCTATTCAATTCGTTTGTATCGAACATAATACTGTCAAGTTGATTGAATGGGGGGGGGGGGGCCTCGCCGAGTATTCTTGCGTTTTTAGGTTTAAACATGTGGTTCACCTCCTTAATTCCATACATTGTTTTTGGCTTTAGCCCCGGTGCACACAATGATACTTCATAAATCATTGTACACAATAATAATATACGAGTATATATTCAATGAAATCCATATGCATCTAACCTGTTCTCAGATCAATGGCATTCGAAATCCATCTCGTTCTGGCCACTATGTCTCTTATAGTTTAAGATTAGTTATGTTTAAATACACACTTGTATCAATGGCATATCATGAGTCCATATCATTTTCTTTGGCATGTCTCAAAAATTGTCATTTTAGTCAGTATTCAAGCCAACAAAATGTTTCAATCAGAATTATTAATATGATTCAAAGCAATGGTGAAACAATTTAATAATAGCCATTTCCTCACACCCCTGGATTGTCTGTCCCAATGTCTCTATGACTGACCCTTTCAAGGCCGCTCCTGCATGGTGATAAGTCGCTTGGAAAAAACTACATTGGAATAGTATGGCAAAGTTGTCTGCTAAAGGATGCTTTTTGGAGAAGCACCATTCAATCAATAGTATATGGAGATCAGATTTAAGGGTGCCCAACATTGGTACACCATCCCGGGTCAAGTTTCGGATTTGCCGCCAAGATAGGGATGGTTTGAGAAATACTTTTCAAAGGAGTTGGCAACCTCGTTACCCATTTCCTCTAAACCCAACCGTAAGCAGTTAAAACAGGAATGTGACTAATGTATTCACTTACTTCACTCCCCTGTCATTAGTCTCATTACTAGTTATCCTTAATGTACATTAGAATATGAAACACGATAAATTCTGCCAATCTGCCAGTAGACCCGTTTGGTTAAAGTTCAATTGTTTCATTCCTCCAAAACAACCAAGATATTCCATAGTTTCTATGGAAATTGCCACACACCTCTGGAATTGGGCGTATGGTTTTTTTTTTTACCTTTTGAGAACAGATAAGGCTGAGGACGATTGAAAGACTGTATGTCATGTGTACTTGACCGCTAATGTTGCTTAGGTATGGAAGACGGTTCCGGCATGTACCAGCAACACGGCGGAGGCACTCCTAGATCTCACAGTACAGGTAGCACGGCCAGCAGCGTGTCGCCAACCGGCAACTCGGCGCCTCCGATGCTGATCGTACCACATCCGATTAACGCCTCTAAGATCACCGACGCACATCACGTTGTCACCCATCAGAACGGTGGAGGCAGGAAGTACACATGCAAAATGTGTCCGTCGGTAAGTGATATAATAATTTAGTATAATTAGCAATTTCCCTAAATTAAGAGCGGGCGTGCTTAAACAGCAGTGGACATATAAAGCGAACCGTTAGTTTTTCCCTCGAAGGAAATATATGTTTTCATCTTGAATATGTCTCCACTCGCCTTTCCCTTACTTATCAGTCTTCTTCTTTATCTTGGCCTTACACTCCCAAATACATGGGGTCGGCCACCCTAGTCCTACACCTCCATAGAGCTCGGTCTTCTACATCTAGTTTAATATTTCCATAACACCTCTCACTGTCTCTGCCTTATCTCTTCTCATAACATTCTCTGTTCAGTTTTCTTATCTACTGCCCAACATTCCTTACATTCACTTATCAGTCAATTTTCTTGTCGATAATCTCCCATGACTTCGTCCCTTCCCTTCTCTTCTCTTCTGCTCTCCTATCCATGTATAGCGTCACATATTCCGTCACGTGACGCAAATTGGTACAGGACGTTGTTTGGAACGCAAAATCGGCCTTAATCGGTTTACCAGTTTTTAATATAACCTGGAATATAATCACAGTAGTAATTGATGTATTACCGAGTGCTGTGAGGAAAACTTAAAAAAATTGCACTATGTTGTGAACTGGTGACTCGAGAAATATGGTAAAAATTATTATGATTTGTTTTTTTTTTTTATTATTATTAATCCACTTGCACGCTTTTTAGCGATTCGCCACGAATATTATAATCAGGTACTACTTTTTTTTTTTATTAAAAGTAATTTTCAGAAAGCAAGCAGTAACACCGCACATAGAACAGTTATTAACATAAATTTGATTAGCGTTTAAATAGATAGAATGAAAAAATATGAAATAATTTTGATATTGAATGGGTTTTTAATGTTGTGTTAATCATAACCACGTGGAAATATGCGATAATTTTGTTGGTTTTTTTTAATTTCTTTATTCCTACAAACTATAACCTGTTTTGTTCTAATATGATATTCGAGTGGTTGCTTTGCACATACGAATTAGCCAAAGTATAATTAAATGTAAATTTCGCGTCTAAAATGGTATTTTATTTAAGTAATATTTATATGAATAATTGTTTTACAAGTCAGTCAAAATCACAATACTGCTATTGGCAAAAATAAAAAAAGATTAATAATTTATAAATGAATAATAATTATTTTTCCGGTAAAAAATAATACACGGAATGATTTATTAATTTGCTTCTGAGACGAAGTTAAAGATTCCGAAACACGCTTTTTTATGACATTAATTATTCTCGGAATGCATTCAATAAAATAATCGTTGAGTTTAACACACAAACGCACTGCTGCCATTCGACAATGTGCACTTGTATTTATATATTATAATAAACATTTATATGTAATTAACGATCGTGCCGATTACCTGTTGTTCGACATTTTGTCACACTAGACTTTATTTTCAAATTAAATATGTCTGCTAAACACAGTCGTCGTTTATGTGCATTTTAATTGCGACTTAATTTATTAAATTGACAGTATTGGTAGACGATGACGACACTGGTCTGGTTTTGATTCTGGTTTTGTGACTTAACAAAGTCATAAACAGTGATACATATTTTATCGACCATAACAGGCAGTTTGAATTCAATGTGAATAGTTGGAATTTGCAGCTAGTTACAGTATTGATATTGTCATATGGCGTGACATAGGTTCTTACGATAGATTTGTACGACTAAACCTTTTGCCGGTTAACGCGATACGCCCTTTTTCTTTTACCGATTCCATCGAGATCCGTATTAAACGTTTTTACGTGTTTACGGTAAATACAAATAAATCAATCCAGTCTCTACAGGTATAACGGCGTCGTCCAATAGGCCTGAGAGATTACCCTTTCGCCGTTGTTGTTCCCCATTCGAGTCGTTTCACCCTGAAGTGGAATCACACGAGTCAATATCATTATTTGGCTCAAAAATTGTCTCAATCAGAATCATTAATACGATTCAAAGGCAAAGGTGGAAAAATCAATTATTAGCTAGTAATAGGTCGCTTGGTAAAAAGCTAGATTGGATTAATTTGCAGCGTTTTATGCTAAATCGTGCTTTTTGGAAAAGCACCATTCAATCAATAGTATATGGGGGATCGTCAGATTATAGAGGTGTCCATCATTGGTACATCATCCCCTGTCAAGTTTAAAGTTCAATTGTTTCATTCCTCCAAAACAACCGAGATAATCCATAGTTTCCATGGAATTGCCACACATACTTCTGGAACCGAGCAAACGTTACTATGATGACTTTTTTTGGATTTTGACCTTTTGAGAACAGATAAGACTGAGGACGATTGAAAGACAATGTTATGTGAACTTGACACCAAACGTTTTTATGGTTTTTGAAGTGATACAAGAGAGGATGGCCGGAAACAAATTTCAACACTCCAAGTGACCACTTTTGGCGAAACGATCCATTATTAAAGGATTCCGATCGGTGGACGTCATTGTTTGGGCCCGAAAAGTAGTACAGTGTGTTTATTAACAATTTTTTTGTTGCATTTGCATTTGTTTGTACATTTGTGCGTCCACTCTTTGTGGCCTCGATGACGTCGTGGTGCCCGGGTCTTTGTCGGTGACCGATAACGACCGGAAAACAATGTAATAATAATAATACACAATATACACCATTATTGCTACTATATAATAACGGCCGAACCGGCCACCGCAGCAGTAATTCTATTGGATTATCCACGCGGGATCATCGATATAATGACACACGATAACTGCACTAATGATATTGACACCATCAACGGCGGTTCGGGTTGATTTGACCGGCTAAAAAAAAAAAAAAAACGTTCCGGTTCTTTTACTTGGTATATACTTACTTACTTATACTTGCTCGATTAGTTTTTTTATGGCCGGCACGCAATAATCTCGAATTAAATGAGACGAAACCGCTGGCGAAGGGTAAAAATAACACTTTGATTGATTTTCTTTTTTTTTTTTGTTTGTGTGTTTCGGATCGTCCGCGCATATTCTTCCGTTCGGTTTATTTTTTCCCTTCCCTTACCGAGAAAGGACTGGATAATGGGGAGGAATTCCCGACCCCAAGTTCTTGCTCTATTTTTTTTCACCCTACACGCTTTTCGGGTTGTTTTTATTTTACCCCGAAAAAATACCATCCCTTACACAAAACGGCGTATTTTTGTTTTTTTTTCTGCACCCCTCCCCCGCCCCAAAAAAAAAAGCGCGTGCGACCAAAACGACCAAATCACTTAATTATCCCGTTTGGAATGAATGAAGACATTTGCGCGCAAAAGCCACAATATTATTACGGTTCAATCCAAAAAAAAATATGTTTTAACCGTTGGGGCGCGATTACTTAAACTTAATTTGTTTTGTATAATAAAAACCTGATTCGAATAAAAAAACCGCTTACCAAGTTTGGGTCAGCGTGTGGACTTTCTTGATTTTTTATTTTTGAAAAATTATTATTCGAATCAAATATTATTCGATTAATTATGTTTGGAATTTTCTAATAATTATTTCTAAAATTATTCGAATAAAAAGTTACACGAATAATTATTTTTGAAATTATTCGAACAAAATATTACAAATTCGAATCACTTTTACTCGAATAATATGTTATCTAGATGATTATTTAGATAACGTTTTATTCGAATTGGACACGAATCTGGACATTAGTGTATCAAGTCCTTTCAAGTACATAGGTACCACGGTTTAGCCCTAGATGTGTAATACTGCGATAGTGTTGAATGGCCTCGAGTCCGGTTGCGCATGTTTGGCAGGGTCTTCGGCAGGGTTTAGGCTTTTCGTTCGGCAACAACATAATAATAATACTGACGCAAAGGGGGTGGACGGGCCGCAGGTAAACATAAAATATATAATGGGGGTTTATACCTCTGTCGAAGCCGCTTCGTATGTGCAGTGCACAAATGATATATTTTAAGGACAGTATAATATTATCTCAGCCATCGGTGATCATCGTCTCGTCATCGCGCGATCGAGTAACGGGTCTTAAGTACAAGTAATTTGCGCCCCAGGCGAACGGCGGGTGGACGGACAGACCGTGCTGGATACAATATAATAGAGGTTGCCCTTTTACTACGATGACGAGACCAAGGGTGTGGCTGAGTTGCAGGTGCAGGTGGCCTGCGTGTGTTACCTATGTGCTTGGAGTCAGGTGGGCTAATCGTACACACAGCAACAGCAACAGCCTAATAAACCACACGAAATTCTTGTAGTAGTAACTAATGAACGGATGTGAAAACCGACCAACGGTGATCTTGCCTAGACGGTTCCCGGTTGAAATGTCCATTTTATTATTGTTTGCAGCTTACACACACACAGCCCAACTGTTCTTATATTAGTCCAAAACGAATATGCCCAAATGAAATAATACGTATAATAACTGGCGAAATTTCAAACTCAATTGAATTCTTATATCAAATTTTGCGACCATGGCAGATGTCAGCTTACCACCCCCTCCCCTTACCCCGGTCTTGTGCTAGTTAAAAATAATACACGTTATACTTTCTTGTGCGGTATAACAATAGCCGCGGTATAACAACTAAAGCGTCATACCCGCGTTTGGCTGAACAAACACACCCTGCGAACTCGAGGGATATACAACAGCCGTAAGAACAGTTTTTTACTACAGTTTAGCAACCGAAAACAATATTCATGTATAGTATAAGTCACCGGCAACGTGTATCTCCTTTGAGCGGATGACATGAGGCTGGATTGTTGTTGTTGTGTGTTAACAGGATTGCCACGGTCCTTTTCCATTCGCATTACACCCGCCGAATAATAAAACGTTAACACATAATTTATACATCTGTACAGGGTGATCGATCAGCTGTTGTAAGATACTAAAAATTATTTTTCCCCTATACTTATAAACATTTTGTCTTCATCGCTTGCACGTAAGACAAGTATGTACTTTGTTTCTCCATAAATATGTAGACAATTAAAAAACAAAAATTATAGCGTTTGAACAGGTTGATGAGAACCGCTTGTCTATTGT